TGCTGTGCCGCCAGGTCCGGAGGTACTTTTAGCAGAAATATTAGTAATTATACATCCAAATGTTATGAAGTTATAAAAGTTAATGCGATGGCAAAGATTACTTATTCCACTGTGTATACTTCGAAATGATGTAGTCCATCAATCAGCTCTGTCGGGCTCGCCAATTTGTTGCTGCCATTTTTTTGGCTGAGCTAGCGTATACACATATCCTAATACTTCCTCGCGTTTACATTTGTGCCCTAACGTTGCGATTACTCGACATCCGCAACGTAATTCAAAAGGCACTTGCGAAGGAATACGATAGTGTATTATTGCAGCAATCAACAATTCAAAAATCGAGCGAGTACAAAAAGTATCAATTGTTAACATGCAAGATTCAGAGTAATAAACAAATCGAAGTACAATTACACAATGAAAGTATAGTACGATTATGAGTAATAAAACTGGTCACTACAATAGCCCCTCCGTAGAATGCAGGTAAATGAAGTTTACCTGTATTCGGAATGATATTGTAAATTAAAAGGACAAAAACAAAAATATGAAAACCGAATTGAGACTTTTAAGTTTTCTGAGGTTCGATTATAACTGTATATATTCGAAAATGTTAAAAACTTCGAAACGAACCAAAATATTTAGAAAGTTGTGCAACATGTAACAATAAAAGCAGAAAAATCATTATTAGAATAATAATGAAGTTGTTATTGTAAAGAGTTACATAATAGATTTATATCTTAACATACAATTAATAGTATAGTAATAAGGAAGTATGGAAATGACTTGGGTAAACATTCAGTTACCTCTATTTCCATGAAAGCTTGTTGTACAAGTGGAATTGTACAAGAAGAGATGGCTGTGTCAGAGAAGAATGCAGCATTAGCTGCTGCTGCTGATACGGTTGAAAGTGAACGTCCGTCAGCATGTTGTTGTTGTTGCTGGCTGTTGTTACTCGGCGTTGAGGAGTAACTTGAATTGATGTTTGCTGCGGTTGGAGAGTAGAAGTTGGTTGATTGATAGCGATTCCAACAGAAGCAGTGGGCACAAGCTGTGGTAAACCAGTGGTTTGAATCAATTGACCATTAGGACCAACAGTCATGACTTTCAATGGAGCTCCTGGTGCCAGAGTGATAAACTGGGGAGTAGCATAGGAGCGTGCAGTTACAGTACCAGGTTGACCACTGACAGGGACGTCAGTTGCCATCATTGTTGGTTGTTGCTGATGTTGTTGGATATAAGCTTGCTGTTGAGCTGGTTGTAACTGATGAGCTTGTGCTTGAATCTGTTGTTGTTGAGGTGATTGGGTAAACTGTTGTAATTGAACAGTTGTAGGACCGGCTTGAGTAAATGGAGTTGCAGACCATTGTAAGAGTGTTTGCACACCTGTAGACAATGCTGAAGCTTGAGGACAGAGAACTGGAATTGAGGTGTTGCATAACAGCCAGCTGCTTGACTATCAGAGTGAACTGGGATAGCAGTTGCTGTGCCGCCAGGTCCGGAGGTACTTTTAGCAGAAATATTAGTAATTATACATCCAAATGTTATGAAGTTATAAAAGTTAATGCGATGGCAAAGATTACTTATTCCACTGTGTATACTTCGAAATGATGTAGTCCATCAATCAGCTCTGTCGGGCTCGCCAATTTGTTGCTGCCATTTTTTTGGCTGAGCTAGCGTATACACATATCCTAATACTTCCTCGCGTTTACATTTGTGCCCTAACGTTGCGATTACTCGACATCCGCAACGTAATTCAAAAGGCACTTGCGAAGGAATACGATAGTGTATTATTGCAGCAATCAACAATTCAAAAATCGAGCGAGTACAAAAAGTATCAATTGTTAACATGCAAGATTCAGAGTAATAAACAAATCGAAGTACAATTACACAATGAAAGTATAGTACGATTATGAGTAATAAAACTGGTCACTACAGTATTTATAGAATTTTATGTATATTATTATTCATTATTGTTAGGAGAGAAGCAACGTCTTCTGATTGGTTGTTTTCCTGCTGAAAGATATTCTGTTATCTCTTTGTTGCCGATTCTTAGACAGTCCATTGATATATCTGCAAGTGGTATTTGCGCACGTCAAGTCTGCTGTGATTGGTTGTTGAGTTCCTCAAGGTTAGGCTTTGATATCGTTCTTCCTTATGAACCCAATTCGGGACGTACAGAGTGACTTCAGGTGTTGCCTACAATTTTGTCTCGCAGGCAGCTCTCGCCGCGACATTAGTTCGAGAACTACTGGAAAACCTAAGGGAGTACTGGACAGTCATTTCGTTGCATACCTATCAGCCGTAAAAGAGCTCTCATCATCTCGCTAGCCCACCGTACCAGAAGAATTTGTGGCGATGACTGTTTAGAAGAAGAGCTCCTATTTCTCAAAATCATCCTGGTTCAAAATGGATACTCACCGCGTTTCGTGGAGAAGAACATGAAACCAAGGCCAAAAAGAGAAGAATGCACCTCAGTGCCAAAGAAAACACTTTATTTGAATCTGGAATTCAGGGGAGACCTAGCAGCAGATATCCTTAAAAGGAGAATCTCCAATTCCTTGAAGAAGACTTTTCCTGCAGCAACTCTAAGAGTGATACTCTCTCTCGGAGTAACGTGGACAGACTTCCGCACTTCAATGTGCATGTATCAGTTCACCTGCTTGTGCGGAGCTAGGTACATAGGTCGTTCTATGCAGGTCTTGTCAAAACATATTAGATAACATCATACAGCATGGATGCAAAGAAGAGTCACTGGTTCAGTCAGAAGCGCCATAACCGAACACCTGGTCAATAGCTGTCACAGCCTCTCAACTAACTCATCATTCAGAGTAATTTACAAAGTAAACAAAAATCTACCAAGGGCAATGCATTTCCGACTTCTTTGTACTGCGGAAGCTGTCGCCATATGCATCGAAAAGCCGGAGCTATGTGTTGAAACGAAACTAATCCAGCCTTTACGAATACCGCGGACCTAGTTCGGTATGTTCCCTTATCCTTCAGTTTTTTTGTCTTGTTTTCTGTGTGTGTAATTTTCTCTGTTTGTCTTCATTCAATTCATCCCATTTTTTCAGTTATAAAATCAGTTATTTCAGATTTTTTTCAATGCTCCTCTTGATCACACTTGTGATCCATTTAGAATAGCCATTTTACAATTATATTCCAATCCTGAGTAATTCTTTGTTTCTATGCCTCTTGTAGTCTGTATACACACCTCCTAACTTACATTTCAAGTTGAAAATTTTGATTTCAATTTGTTTCCATGCTCATTTTGTCCACACCTGTAATTCGTTCTACCCCTGCGTAACTTTTGCTTCTAAGCCTCTTGTAATTCATATGAAGTTGAAAATAATTATCAACTTTTATTCGCTTTTAAAATTATTTCTGCAGTTATCAAATATTACGTTTGCATATGTTGTAACTGTTTTCTAAATTTTATGCAATCTTGTCTCTAAGCCCCTTGGAATCTATATTAGTACCTTCAAGCTTTCCTATCAAGTTGAAAATTATTATCTCCTTCGTTACTATGTGGAATTAAATAAATAAATATTGTATCCATGTAAACTAGTGTATTTAAATGCGATTGTACAGCTGCTTTTGAGAATGAAATCGCCGAAAAGATGAGATAGCTATGCTGAACTTCTTGTTCTTTTCCCACTTTGGATCAATCACATACATCCTAAACTATGTGTGCAAAAAACACAATAGACTTCAACCTTCGCCTACCATGGACTGACTACTTGACCTATTTAAAACTACGATTGGTCATTAGTATGTACTTTTGTTTTTTTAAATAAGAGTAATTGTCATGCATTTTATTTTATTATTATTGTGAACCCTGTTAGTTGTAAAGTTGTTGTAAAGAAACTTCGAAATGATGACATCATCTCGCGAAATTTGTCTTCTAAATGCCTTATGCAAATAATTTATTAATAATGTATTCAAATAAAACTCTTTAAATTTCGCTATCAATGATTCAACGTTATTTTTTGAAAAATACTAAAGTTGTCATTCACACATTCATCAACCTGAAACCAATCTGGAAATCTTCGTCACTCAACATCAACAACAAAATTCGGATTTTCAATACAAACGTCAAGTCAGTTCTTCTATACGGATTAGAAACTTGGCGGGTCACAAAGAATATTTCCAACAGCCTGTTGCACACCTTTATCAACAACTGTCTTCGTTCTATACTCAAGATCAGATGGCCGCCGGAAAGAATCACCAACAAGAAACTATGGGAACAAACAAAACAAGAACCAATCACCCAACAAATATGCAGGAGAAAGTGGAGATGCATTGGACACTCACTGAGGAGGCTGCTGGGTGACATCGCGCGTCAGGCCATACCTCGAGTGGAACCCGAAAGGGAAGCGGCGAGTGGGACGTCCAAGGGTGACATGGAGGAGATCGTGTGAAGAAGAGTTGAAACAGTATGGACTAACATGGATGCAAGTGAAAAGTACAGCAGAAGACAGAAACAAGTGGAGACGTGCAGTTGAAGCCCTATGTTCCACTGGGAACCCAAGGGAACAATAATAATAATATAATGTTGTCAGCCAATGACAATAATTTTTTAATTATTATGGATGCATGTAACTGTGCCACTTGATGAAGAAGCTATCGAAGAGAATAATTTTCCTTCACCCTATTCACTCTTTTGAAATTTCGTAGTGGGTATTTCTAGTCGATATCCACTGGGTTCAAGCCTTGGTGGGAACACCTTGATCACTACTCACTGGAGAGTGCAGGTACACCCAATTGACGAGTCCCAAATGGGACGAAATGCGTATCCTGGATTCCACTCCTAGTCATTATCAACCAATTAACTTTTCACTCGGTATAGTCTACTCATTTTAGCCCTGGAAGATGAACTCATATGTCTTGTTAACAAATAACATGACACATAAGGTGTAAGAATTTTATTAGATAAAAAAAGTCGTCTTATACATAAATGCATATATTTCAGTAAAGAAACAATAACAATAGTAATAAATAATAATACTAGTAAAAAGTAAATTAACACAAAAATAAATCTATGTATCATCATCGCTTGATGGTAATTCACCTTCTTCCAAAGATTCATTAGAATCAGGTGATTTCCTACAAGGGCTTACAGTCGGTGTTGTTGTATCCATTTTTGTTGTTACAGGAGATTCAGGTTGATCTTCTAAAATAAATGGTTCTTCTAAATTATCTGCATCTATTGGGGAAGGAAAGTTTGTCTCATGGAGTGGTTTTATTGGTTTATTATCACGGATTCTGGGTAGATTTTTCAACTTTTCAAGTTGTCGTCGTTTACGACGATGGCGCTTACGAATCCTATGTGAAATAATAAAAGAAAATTACATACAATTTTTTAAAAATAAATAATTGAATATAACTCAACAGTTCAATTTAAAACTAAAAGGGTGGTACCATCTGATGAAAAGTATTTTTAAAACTGTAATGGAATATTATGAATTTCTAAAAAAAATAATGGAGATTCGTAGCTCATCAAGTGGATGATATTGAATTAGTTGTGTTCTCTCTGAGCTGGTTGATGTAATTGTGAAGCTTTCGTCGTCCATCTTCTAGACAACATCACCTCATCACAGGCTTCAGTATAAAATGAACTTATTTAAATTCTACATGATTGATGTAAGTGTATCTCCTGGAAACCACTGTCATAACTGGTTGCTAATTTACGTCTCTGTTGATCATTATTTTTGACTTGGAATTTGAACTTTCGTGTCATGGGATTTATTTTTTATCAGCTGGTAAATTTGGAGTTCCCACTGGTGACATCGGTTGGTACCCGCGCTAAAATCACGAATTGATAGAAGTTAGAATTCATGGACCATTGAATCGGGTCCCAGTGGCTGAATGCTATAATAACGTGTTTGTTAATTGTTGATTCACTTGAGTACCAGGCTTCTAGGAATTCTCTGGCATTTTGGGGTTTCCTCTGTTTAAAATTTCGACATTATCCTAATCAAAATGGTGTCCATAGTTATCCACATGCATTGATACGAAAGAATATATATCATGTCTTTTTACAGCTAATTTGTGTTCTTAGATTCGGATTTAAAGGGGACACCCACTTCGACCGATGTAATGTCTGTTACAACTCATACAGCTAATTTGGAAATAGTATTAATTTTATCTTATTTTCCTGTTGGATCTTTCGGTTTGCACAATATCAAATGAAGTGACTGTGTTGGCTGGCTTGTGTGCTATGTCTATATCAAATGGTTTCAGTATTCTAGCTGCTATTTCAGAGATATTTTTATATGATCAAATATGAAACAAATCAAATACCTACAAAATAACAACTCTTGAAAATGGATCTGATGCTTCCATTATGGGTAAATTTTTATTTTGATAGAGTCTCACAGTGTTATACAGTAATATTTACTGATGACGTTTCGAGCACAAACTATTGCTCATAATCATATCAAGTTGATATGATTATGAGCAATAGTTTGTGCTCGAAACGTCATCAGTAAATATTACTGTATAACACTGTGAGACTCTATCAAAATAAAAATTTACCCATAATGGAATTACACTCTACCACAGTGCCCAAGTTTTATTCTTATGGATCTGATGCTCTCTAGTAAGCGGCTGGCAACAGGACAAAGTTAACTAAAGTACCAGTAGGAAGCTGTGGTCAGTGGAGTTCATCCGGTCGGTAGTGAGAACAAATACTCGCCAGTGATGAAATTGGCTGGTGGTTGCGCAAACATTATGAATTAATAGAATTTACAATTCATGGGTTAGCCCCATAGGAATGGGTCCCAGTGGCTGAATGGTCTACAAGCTTGCCTTGTAACCGGAAGCTCCTGGATTTGAACCCTGTTGGTGCGTGCGTACTTCCGACGAGTATCAAACTAGGACAAAATAACTACCCAGTACTCCTTGATTCCCAATGGTCCTCTAATTGATATCAATCAATCCATAGTCAAATTTGGAATATACCAAAAGTATTATATATGCATATATATATATATATATATAATCGACACTGCATTCTAAGCATACCTTTTCATTTTATCCCTTATTTGCTTATCAATTAGGAAGATGATTTTTCTCTCTTCGTCTTTGACAGAATAGGAATGTTTAATCAGGTTAAGATATACGCCACCAGGAGAACGTCTACGGGATCCATCCTAATAATTTGAATGAAATAGGAATAAAGTATTAATACTAATGTTTAATAAAGATGGTATATATCTGCACAGTACAACTTCAGAGAAGGAAGTACTGTAACATTGTGGTGAGTGCTACTTACTTACAACCAGATATAAGTAGTATATCCGTAGGCGAATTCAGCAAAAGTAACAATATGTTTTAAGCACTGGAAAAAGCAATCGAAAAAGAGAACTGTTGGAAAAACGTTAGAAACACTGTGCAGAATCATCCAACAAGCTATCAAATGTGGTAATATTCAGCCAATTTGCAAAAGATGTGCAAATAAAGCATTGGAGATATGGTATACCAAATTTATGTACCTACAAAGCCTTTGTCCTATTAAACACTGCCTTCGAGCCTCATCGATCTTTTCTTCTTTACGGCAGTACACTAAAAGATTTTCTCGATAATATTAACCATTAAATACAAAGAGTAACAACCTACTTCACAGAAAACGAACATATAATTCCTTGAATATGCATTGAAGGTATATCTTTATCATTTGTTCATTTAAATAAGATTCATAATTTGAAATGTCAACAGTTCAAAGGGTGAAATCTGTACCAGTTTTCCTCAGAAAGATTCAGCTCTCTGAGGTGAGTCAAACCAAGTACATCGCTGATGACCTCAGTCGACCTCAAACGAGTGAAACGGCCGTGCAGTGTTGACATTACCTTGATCTGTCTGGCCAGCAAGCACTACTTGGTTGATATGAGTGGCGTACAACTACTCGTCTCAACTAATCAGTAGTATGGAGTTTTGTGCGAATATTTACTTCTAAGTCTAGTACTAGCCTCCACCAAAAAAAAAACAATGATAAAATAAAATGAACAAAATAGTAGGAAATATGGCGTAAGTGAAATAAAGCAAACAGAAAAGAATAAAAAGGATACATGATAAAAGTAGACGTAAGGAAGAGAAAATAATTAAACTGGATGGAGGATTTCATCAGGAGCTGACATCAGTGAGAGAACCACTGGAAAACCTGGGAGTACTGAACAGTCGGTTGTTTCGTCCTAGTTCGGGACCCTTCATCAGTACGCACCCACCACCAGGGTTCGAACCCAGGACCTTCTGGTTACAAGGCTAGCGAGCTCGTAGACCATTAAGCCACTGGGACCCAATCCAATGGCCAGCCCATGAATTCTAACTTCTGCCAATTCACGACATAGTGCGACCATTTCGCAATGTCTTCTTCGATGAGTTACTGCCTCATCTTCAACCTGCTGTACCCTACTGGTCACGGCTTCCCACTAGAACCCCAGGTCACTGCCTGAATAGGGCCAGTCGCCAGTGAGCATCAGATTAATTTTCAAGTATTGGTTTTGTAGGGATTTTGTTTGATCAATCAAACAAACCAATACTTGAAAAATAATCAAATGTTCTCGTTGTCATTTGAACTCAGTTACTCGGAACTCATCTTTCCTGTACTAGCCATATACTTTACTCAGGTTGAAGTAGATGAAGACTAAAGATCTGCTGAATCTGAACGGTTCATTGCATCGTGAAACAAATTATCATTTGTGCCAAATACACTATAACTAACATCACATCATTACTCAGCATACTGCTGCATCTAATGTGGGCAACACAGCCAAGGTATCTATGGTCAGAAACTGCTAGTCTTTTCAGAATTACTGCCTTCTGAATCCATATCGCTGGCATAAATTAGTACTAAAAGGACCTCTTGTTTAACACAGTTAAAAGTGGACAAACTCCCACCTCATGTTACCTGCAACTGCGTCTACCAATTTACATGTACGTGCCAGAGCACATACATTGGAAGAACAAAGAGAAGAGTTATTGTCCGCATCACTGAACACATACCAAAGAACCTGAGATTAAAGGGCCCACAAGCACTAAATAGTGCGATTGCACGCCATCTACTAGACACTGGCCATGTTGTGGACAACCTGAAGTCGTTCAAAATAATCAACAGACAAAAGAAACTTAGCCTGCTTCGTTTTGCTGAGGCAATCGCCATCAAACAGCTTAAAACCAAATCTATGTACGCAGAAAGAGACAGTGGTGGTGAGTCTTGCACTGCCTTGCTGACAACAAAGCCCACAAATTTCACTACGTCATCTTTTTGTCCTTTTTAGAAAACTTGAATTTTTCGTCTGAACATGACTCGTCCTACTCCTCCGCCCTTTCTTTGTCTATTTTATAAAAACGTGTTTTTCTTCGGTTACGTAACCCATTACTTTGTATACTCTTTCTAGTTAAACTTTATTTCTACCCAAAAAAACATCTGTTGAACTCTGTCCTTTTGTTTCCAAACTTAGTCATGCAATTCTTCTATAAATAGTCGATCCTTATCACTCTTAATTATTTAACAACTTACATTATTCCTGACCAATGTTACTCTCAGTTCCAATCAATTACTCACTATCATTGTAAGAAAAATTTGTAACTGGTTGAGAAGAATCCACGAAATAATAAAAATAAAAACGTGGGCTCAGATTATCCTGGTACATTTGTCGTTCTTGCTCTATTCAAATTTATTAATGGGAAGTTACTAAAAGAACTGTTGTGTATTTGAAATGCTGTTCAATACGTAGCTACAAAACACACCCACGCAACATGCGTCAAATGGTGTATATGAGCCTCTCATCAGCAACCAGTTCATTAAGACTGGTGGGGGAGATTCGTGGCACAGGTGGATGATATCAGTGTAGTTTCATTCCTAGATATAGATGGTTCATAATTGTAAAACAAACTTTCATTATCCTTCTGGACAATATCTTCAGAGCTACCTTCAATGTGAAGTGAGCTTTGAGGTTTCTTTCACATTGGCCTGATATTTAACTTTTTGGTCTTGTGACCTATTTTTTTAGACCAACACATTTAAGCGAACAATATTGTTTTCAATTAAATCTCATTAGGCTTAACTCTAATATATATAAGTTTACAAATAAAAATTCAAATATAAACCAATCATGGTGTTTTGTCTATAGGATAATATGATGGTGAATATAAATTGTGCAATTAGTCATAATAGTGTGGTGAGAGCTGTCTACTAGCCAAATTGGTAGACAGTAATTTACGTCAGTATTTACGTTCCCAAGATTTGTCGTGAGAAACAACCAATCGGAAGACTGTGTTTGTTTGTTTACGTATCCATAGTAATGTACATGAAAACATATATAAATAGGCGTTGATTTTCTTAATAAATGATCTGTTGCCTGACTCTTGCCTTCTGTTGTTACAATAGTAGTAATGATAATAATGATAATATTAATAATAAAAATGGTCTTATCAATAATAAGGATGAAAAAGTGAGGCAATCTGTGATGACACGAATAACGAAAAACAGCATGATTAAACAAACAACTGTTCAGGTGGAAGTAGTCGATAAAGGCTAGTAAAAACAAATGAACCGATTAAGTAATGTTAGATTGTAAGGGAAGTAAATGAAACAATGAAACAAGATTAAGGGATGATAAGAAAGGGGTTGAAAATATATACAAGGGGTGGTGTAGAAGTCATTAGTTGGTTATGTCTTAATAGGCCAACAAGGGAGGGATAATGGCTGTACGAACTTCTTTTGAATGCATAGTTTAGGTTTAATAGTTCGAATGCCTATCGCCCCAGATATGTGCAGTAGATGAATACAAAGTCTATTGGAAAGATTCGGTGGGATACGATGAATTACTTTGAAGGCTACCGTTTTCTCCACTACATGACCACTATCAACTAAATGTGACAAAACTGAGCTACGGATTATTGTCTGTCCTTTGCCAAACCACGATGGGAGATGTTCAGTAGTGACACGTTGGTTAAGCTGTCTAGTAGTACGCCCAATATAACCTGTCACCGCAGGTGCAGTTGAACTGATAAATGCATATAGATGTGGCAAAACTATCTAGCCTATCCCTCGTTTATGTCACAATCAATCTTCGACTAGAGAATGACAAACATAGGTGTACTGCGTAAAATGTTCTTCGTATACTCATGGAAAGTCTTTGGAATAGAATCTCACTTGATAATTCACCATTAAATTGTAACTTAATAAGTAGAGGTTTTTACGTGCAGTCACAGTCTCAGGTTTTCTCTCCGTTTTCATATGTTTCTTTATGAAACTACTTGGATAGTCCATCTCTGTCAAAGAATCGAGAATATATTCAAATTCCTTTTGTAAGAGGTCATCCGTACATATCTTCCTTGCTCTGCTTTTAAGACATTTAACAACATTTCTTTTATATTTAATGGGCACGTAACTAAGGAAGTGTGTGTATTGCCCTGTGAATGTGCTTTTTCTACACACGCTTCTCCCAAGTGACCCATTTCGCCTACTCAGTAAGACATCCAGGAAATGTAGTTTACTATCCTGCCCCTCTTCACAAGTAAAAGTAAGTGAAGGGTGGATATTGTTGAATTTCAGCAACAATTCGTCTATGTTTACATTCCCATAAGCTAAGATAAATGTATCATCGACATAACGGTGATACATATCAAACTCCTTGATGTTGTCTTTCAATTTCCCGTTTTCAAGTTTTGCAAGGAAGAAGTCAGCTAATATTGGGCCTAATGGTGAACCCATACCTATTTTTTTATTGATTGATAGATATGGTTACAGTCATAAGAAAATCCGCAAGAACAACAGATCACAGTCAAGGTTACCAGGAGAAACAAATATTTCATTTATGGAGAATTCCCACAGCCTACTTTAGATAGCAGGTGGCGGTGTAAAATATTGTCACGAAAGACAATGAAAGCTCAGATGACACAATAACACCGTAAACATTTCACTTTCGATCCTTAAAATGTGATTGGTACACGCCACTCTTGTCATATATATACACACATATATATTCACTCAAGACGTTCCAAAGACTGTATTTTATCAATATTCTCATTTAAAAAAGATGGATATCATAAAGGTACTCAGAAATAGTGATATTGTCCCTTATTAGTAAGTCGATTTCCCGTGACATCAGAGTTACATCGATTAGCACATTTTGTATTTATGATTAAGGAGAAAAATGTTATATCCAACACAAGAACAAAAGTTTCTCAAAAAACTGGAAAGTAAAAATATAGTCATACTGAAAGCCATGAAAGAGAGAATTATAGCACCTTTGGACAAAGAGGATTGCATCAAGAAAGTTGCAGACTAGCTAAAAGATAACCCAACATACCAAAGTTTTCTGGCAAATCTTATCTACACATTACACAACCAAATCTGAAACCCCTTAACAAACTTCTCGAAGTGAGTCACATCACAAAGGAAGAACACTAACCGACGAAATCCAATCAACCCGTTTTACTCCCGACCTTACGGTAACCCTTCCCCCCCCCCTCTTACAATCAATCTTCTCACTATCAGGGACTCCAACATATAATTCCTCCAAAGAAGTCTAAAGAAGACTAAGATTTCTAGCCGAATCCTGTGCCTACTTCATTAAAGCACCAAGTCAACTTCTGGAGCAAGTCAAAGATATTCAAACAGATGATCATGAAACTATGGTACCTTTTGATGTGACAGCACAGTGTTATACACTTCCACAGGACAAATACTATCAAAAGAAAGAACTATGCAACAACTACTCAGCGACGATGAATACCATTTCACAACACTCAACACATACAATGCTCATGTTGGATAGAATGCATAGAATTATGTCTAATAACGTATTTTCGATTCAATAGCCCAATATATGAAAAGATGAAAGCCCAATCTATGGGATTACTCATATTAAGGATGATCGGTGATGCTGTTGTGAAACCATAATTCTTATTTATTATTATTTTTTTATTTTGGTTACGGCTTGATGCCACACTGTATTTTCAGTACAAGTATGGAATTTTCAGCACGGATATCGGTAGCCCAAATTTTACAGGCCGACTATAGATATCGGGTGTGCGTCGGCAGGGGATCGAACCTCGGACCATGTGCATGGTCGGCGAGAGTCCTAACCACTGTGCCACCAACGGACATATATGTAAAACTTGGGCACTGTGGTAGTAAGTAATTCCATATTAGTTTGTTTATTAGATATATCACACAGTGAAACAGTATTATTTACTGGATGGCAAGGTTTCGAACACAATTTATTGTTCATAATCAAATCAATTATAATCACACGACTTCGAAACTTGAGTTTTATAGTTTTCTTTGTTCTCTCCTATTTGTCTTCGTTGAGGTAGTAGAGTTTTCCAGATATCTGCGTGGACAGGTGTTGAATCATTCCTATTACATGCATTTGCAGTTGATTCGATAAATAAAAGCTTCTTTTATCAATCTCTCCCTCTAGCCTGTTACATTAGATTTTAAAACTGTCATATTATCCCATCCTGTTGTATGGTTGTGTGTAAGTGCATGTAGTGCTATAGCTGAACTTTTCTCTAGATTTCTTAACTTATTCGGATTTTGTGCTCGGTTAGTCTGACTGCTCCTGTTCTATTAGTTTGACTTATGTATTTGACCTGACAATCATTGCAGGGTATTAGATAAACTAAATTGTTTTGTTTCAAAGGCTCCACAGGATCCTTTAACCGACAAAGCTTGTTTCTAATTGAGTTTGTGGGTTTGAATGCCATTTTTATTCCTACCTTGTTAAGAATTCTGTGTAAGGTTTCCAAGGTTCCTTCCTTGTATGGAAGTACTGCTGATGATTAATATTCCCTATTGTTGGTGTTGTCATTATCCTCAGCATTTTTGACATGCATGTCGTCATTAATATTACTATTTTTATTATCATCACTATTACTACCATTATTATCAATTTTATTTTAGCATTTTCCTAGCTCAGTTATAGCAGTTTCACACAAACATACACAAGGATGAGGTATTTTGATGTGGTTGTGTTCTCTGAGCTGGATAGTTAACTTGTGAAGCTTTCATCGCCCTACTAGGCGACATCTTCAGCGCATACTTCAATTTAAAGTGAGATTTTAGATTTCTCCATGAGTTTATTAATCATCTCTCCCGGTGACCTTGGACCTGATTGGTTGTTTTCGTGTGTTTCCACACCTTCTACAAATCTTCTCTATCACACAAGGATGAGATAAGACGACAGTCTTAAAATTTGACATAACAGGATGGAAGGAGAGATTCATAGCAAAAGCTCTATTTATTTAGTCAACTGAGAACACTCACAATAGAAATGATTCAACACACCTGTCCACCCACACATCTGAAAGATTCTACCACCTGTACGACGAACAAGAAGGAAAGAAGAAAGAAAACCATGCAACGGAAGTTTCGAAGTTGTGTAGTTACGATTGATGATATGATTATGAACAGTAAGATAAATTGTGTTCAAAACTTCATCATTTGATGTAAATAATACTGTTTCACTGTGTGATACATCCAACAGATAAATTAATGTGAAATTACATAAAACCACAGCGCTCAAAGTCTACACATATTAACTTGTGGCCAATGTTGTTGAAAACAATCAAATCCCTGTGAACAAACACTTGAAAATTGGTCTAGTGCTCACTAGTGATTGATTGATTGGATACAGGATAAAGTTGTCTAGATTTGTTGTAGTGAGAAGTCCTGACCAAGGGGTGTGCGTCAAGTTGGGTGTAAGAATGAATTGTCGCCTCTGACATTGCCTGGAGATGGGATGAGGCCACTATATATATCGTCCATTGACAGATGATAGAATTGATGGATTATTGGATTCTACTCCAGTGGCTGAAGGCCTTGAAATCGATCCTTGGTATTTCCATGAGTACGAACTGATGAAGAGTCTCGAACTAGGACGAAACAGCTGCCCAACACTCTCTGGTTTTCAATGGTTCTCTCTCTAACCGATGTCAGCTCATGATTAAACTTCAAATCAATCAAATTCCAGCAAACAAACACTTGAGAAATATCTTTCCAGTACTTCCAGTAAAGCAGAAATTTTTATTATGTGACTGAATTGTATGAAGAAAATAGGCATCATGCAGATTAAACAAAAAAACTGTTAACACATGAAAACTTACCATTAAATATAGACCTCCACTATTTTCAACGTCTTCAGTAAGGTAATAAAATTCAAGTGCTCGTTGAACACCAAGAATATCAACTGTTCGTCCTATAGCATCAAAATGATTCGGATGTAAAAATAAACTCACGTATTAAATCTTCATTAGGTTCCTTCAATAACCTGATAATTGTTTCTGCAACACGATCAGGTGGACTGTCAAAGGTAACATCTATATGACTTCGGCCTACTGATTGATCCCATGAAAGTGGACCAAGTCGTTGTCTGAGAGAGAGGCCTGTAGACTTCGTAGACCCTCTAAGATACCAAATAAATGTTTATGTATTTCATTCCCAACCAACCTTATAGGTAATTTTCGCCGACTGAGTAGTTTATCAGGGCTGCCTTCATCACTAGAATCTTCTTTAACTAAATAACTTTCAACACCTCTACCGCTATCAAGTTTCTGCAAAAGCAAAAACAACAAAATTATCATATATTTACTACTATGATTTACTTCGAATAGATGAGTCGATGTTAAGGCATCTTTCAGTAGCATTTCATTGGCAAAATTTAACCAAAGAGGACGTTTTTTTCCAGGTTTATTCGGAGTATTTTCATCATTGTTATCTTTTTCCATTGGTGAAGGTCGACTATCTGATTTCCTTCGTTTCCAACAAATTTCATCCTCATCAGTATCACTGCTTGAATCATCTTCAGAAGATGAATGAAGTTCTTCTCTGTAAGCCATTTAGATGATTGATTTACTGATTGATTCTAAAAATAAATAAAACTATCTTAATAGAGTTGTGTAAGCTAGGATGAGTTGTTCACTATACGTCAAGCCAGTGAAATCATAATAACGAATGCATCATTCTGTTTATTCAGATGTTGATAAAAAATTAAGAATGGGACTGTTGGAAGCAAAGTTTTTTTTAAAACAATAAAATTTGAAAAGTAGGCAGTATAATCTCATCTGAAGTTATTATGGTGTTAAAGTAGGCGCTCGAATAGCAGGACAGAGTTATGTCTACTAGACTCAAAATGTTTGCTAATTGATTATTTCTCTGAGTTGAACCTTGGAGTGTAACTAGTTTGTCTGTCTGTCACATGCTCTGATGGTTTTATCAGGACTTCTGTTGTCTGATCTGCCAAGGGGGTGATAGGATAATGTGCGACCTAATGATTGTGTGTTACATGTATCTACCTAAGCAAGATAATGTTAAGCTCCAATAAGCTGATTGCTGGCGAAATCTCAGCACGGATTCAAAAAGCCTTTGTGGCATTTGCCAACTTCCGCCATCTCTGGAGTAGAAACGATGTCTGACTATCTTTCAAAGCCCGTGTGTACTACACACCAGTTTGCTCTACACTCCACTATGTTTGTGAGGTATAGCCGTTCGATGAAAGTGCAAGAAATGAAAAGGCTAGCTGTCTTTGACCATAGATGTCTCTGCATTCTATCTCCCGTGTTAGAATGAGTAATAATGAGCCCAGGTGTCGAGTGTTAGGCAATAAGGGAAGGTCAGTCGATGCACTTGTGAAGCTGTATTGATTAAGATGGCTAGGGCATGTGTTACGCATGCATCCCTAGACGTCGCCTTCCTCGACGGGAAATGTTAACTGATACAGGATTGATCAGGTTGGAAAAGAACAAGTAGTGGTCAAACCAAAACTCGCAATAACTCCAAGAAATGTTTGACAAGTAGTTTTAGCTAGACATGTAGGTAGGTGTAGACTTCTTGGTTAGGTGCCTCAGGATTTCAAGAACCAGTGGCTGAGACAATTGGTGATATGGCTCGGAATCGTCCCAACTGGTGCAGATGCAATCACTCTCTGTAATCTGTTAGATCCGTGTTACTATTCCTTCTTCTTCACGTTTCTTTTTTATTAACGTTCGTCCGAATCTTCTTTTTCTCTTGAGTCTTCCATTATGTGGTGTGTATGGAGTGTAGCAACTTGAACTGCTGCCATTTTGTGCAAAGTTCTATGATGAAACCAGTCAGTCGATAAGCGTTTAACCTACAGTCAAAGAAACTTAAGAGTAGAAAGTACACTGAACTTCTTAAAGTAATACTGTACTTATTTTGATTTCGATATATATAATTATTATTATTATAACGAATAAATACTGTATTTGAATAAATCACCAATCTATTGACCCAAATTTATATACACACAATGTTGTCACTTCCTTCGGCTACCGATGTCGACTAGCTGAAAAGCCTCATAAGAAAATAATTACAATGTGATTGCTACTCAAAAATAATAAATTATTGTGTAAACCTGTAAGACCAAATAAATTTATCTGCAAAACAGCTTATGTTTAACAAGCACTTCTTCAAATGGTAAAATAGTTACCTGGCTTTAAAAAAAAGTGTAATTAATACCCTATAAGAGTATTCATTTCGTAGACTGAGTAAATCGTGGTAGCAAGTAAATCTAACACAAACAAAGTAAATTTTGCTCTCTGTTTAAATGTAACGGTAATTTGCACTGTACATCAGTCGCTCTGAATGCAAACATACTGTAGTCGGTTCAGAGAAGCACGCAATGATACAACACTGCATAGTTAAGCACTGAGAATCACAGTTTGCCGCTAACTATTATTATCTAAAGACACTTCAGTCGCAAAAATGTTTATTCACGTGATTGTTAAGTGTACTAACCTAAGACAGTTGATTAGGTGCGCAAAGTGATCACTAAGCTAGATGATACCCTACTCTAATTTACCATGATGCACAAAAATACCAATACTATCTTGAAAGTGCATGGTGGAATTGAGAAGAAACACCTTTGCTTCCCTATCTTCTTATTTCACATAACACTCCAAATGAAATATCACAGAACACTGATACATTCCCTTACGCTAAAGACAACAAAAGTTCAAATATGTAGTCCACAGTTTTGAGGAGTAGTTATCATATTTAAACATAATCACTAGGTTGTAATGAGCACATGTGTTCAGGTAGTGTTAAGAGCAATGGCCAACCGGTTTACAGCTATTTATCGCTTATCCATTGCTCCACTTGTTAAGAAGGTTTATGTCTTCAATTAAAAATAAACGTAAGCATAATGTAAGGAATTCCATTTCCTTCCTCACAATGTAAAACAGATAGCTCACCGTATCTTACACGCTGATTTCAGTGTGATATAGGGGGGTCACAGTCACATGATCACTGATGAGAATATAGTAGTTGCTATTGTCCTTATCATCTTACCTTAAAACAATTTCAACCTACGAGCGTAATTTACAGAAAAATGAATAAATTTTATCATACAACACCAGTATGTCAAAAGTGAATCAAGTTATGCTGAAAGTCAGACAGCGAATACAAGTGGAGCAACCAAAACGTACTTCACTTCAGCAACTAGCAAAACAGCTATGATTTCTTTGTATATACAAATTACTTCTTCAAAATTCAAACACACCCTATGGGGTTTCTTAGAAATTGCTGGAATTACGCATACAGACGATATTTGGCAAACTTCGAAAGCATAAAAGTGACCAGCCCATAAGAACTGTTCCTTGAGATCTGTGGTTGCACGAAACAAGTCTCATAACCCCTGGTACTTTCAGAAAAAAGAAACTTCTACAGTATACACAGTTGGAGAGTTCCAACGCTACACATAATCATCCATAAGCACACAGTCGTTCTATTCACCAGTAACCCTTTTCTTATTCTCCGCGTGTACCTCCTACTGTAAACACCATTTCACAGACTGACTAATGCTGACAACTTAAGCTGAAGAGACATCATCCCAATTCTCCCACAATTTCATATTGGAGCTCACAAAGATTTAATGTTAAGTCGGAAGACAGGCCTTGGAAATATGTTGTCTAATAGAATAGATAAGATTATTCATTTAGCCTCAAATGAGGAACATGGTGAATCTACAGAATTGCCCCGACTAGTATCATGTGATTCTTTGATTTGTTCTTGTGGACTAGTTGGTGTAGAGACAGGAGCAACAAACTCACTCTTTAACTGGTTCTTAGCTGACAATCTCTGATAACAGTCTGAATACTTCCGTCAGAATAAGGAGTGATAGTGAAACATCGGTGACCATTTGCTACTTTCGCGCCACTCGACTGGTGGCATAAAATGGGTTCACACTAACTCCAATTTTAAAAATCAACAGTAAGATGATGGGGTTAATCAAAATAGGACATTTGGGACATGTGTGGTATTCGGAAGTGCACCAAAGGGAGTCTTTACAGTGCAGCAGCGGCTATAAAATATGGACATTGAAGTAGAAATCATTAAAGGACTAACAGTTTCTCACTATTGGTGTTCTGTCTCAGTTGTTTACATTAAGGCAGCAACATTATACGTAATGATAATAATAATAACAATAATAATAATAGCATCGTGTTTTACGTATTTGGTGAAAGTGAATCAATGAGATTGTGAAGCGTCATAGGCTGAAATCACTTCAAAACACATCACCAGTTTAGGAAGTCACTGACTGTTAGGAGTCAGTGGTTGTGAGATCATAATTACATGACTCAGAATCGTGTCTTCTAGCTTTCCAAAATCTTTAGTCAATCATTTCTTCTCTAACACATAGCAGTCCATTATAATTCCACTATATTTCTTTTTTGAGGTGTGGCAAATTGAACTGTTGCAGTTTTTGTGAAGTTTTATATTATCTAGTCAGCCATCTGAACTTTTGTGTAAATGAATGGATTTTAATGGACTCTGAATAAGGTGAACGGCAAAGGCTGATTAAAGGTGAACTCATTAAAAGTATCCGCAATGCTCAAGAGCAATGGTTAATAATGAAAAGTAAGGAATGTAAAAAGCATCGGTGCCAGTTAATTTCCATTAACTAGCAAAGAAACATATCCCAGAATAGCTACAATAAATAAATTGTGCGTGGAGGCTAAAAATTTGTCTGCTTAGTTAGACAAACAACTTAAAAATTTAAGTGCAATATTTGGAGTACTTCATCTACCAGACAACTGAAACATAGTCACCTATCGCTCAGTCTTTACTTGAATATGATAGCATGGATTTTACAGCTTTGAACGAAGTCTCGATAAGTGTCCCTAATCTAAAAGGGAATTGTTAGGGGAGACGATATATCATTGTTAGCCGTAAAGTTATGTTCGGTGCAACCAATCAGATATTGATTATCTATGGTTTAAATTCCCGTTGTTCTGAAAACAATATATACTGGGTATTGTGAAGAATAAAAGCTTTTGTTGTGGTTGTCACAGTTAAATTTGACTTCTGTGTCTACCTCAGTGTTGGGAATATTTCCAAGTGATCAGTCGGCCAGTACCATGACTGGAAGCTCATTACAGTGAAGTTAGACAAAAACAAACAAAATTAGTAACACTTATAACAGAGATAAAGCAACAGTAAGTGGTAATTTGACAGAGAATATCTGGGTTAACTAGTGTTGTGTAGTCTATGGGAATCCTGACAGTTCAATAAGATTGGTGGGCGTCAATAATCACACCACTTTATAAGTAAGTAAACTTCCTATTAGCAATTACAGGATGAGCCTAGTTATAATATTACCTAAAATTCTACAGTCCATACACACGATAGCTAAGTGAAGTGAAAGAACATTTCAGGCTAGTGCATTGATCAGATATTCCTCGAACAACAGCTTACTGACATCTGAATATTTCATATTGCTTGACCTCATAAGACCGTTCAGTTCTGTCAGTTTAGAGATGTCACAAAGTCATCGTGTTAATATTTATATTTATTTTTTATATTTTATTATAGCTTGAGTCCACACAGTATTTTTGATACAAGTATGGAATTTTCAGCATGTGATATCGGTAGCCCAATTTTGCAGGCCGACTATTGATATCGAGTGTGCGTCGACCGGTGATCGAACCCCGGACCATGTGCATGGTCGGCGAGCGTCCTAACCGCTGTACCACCGACGCAATAGAGTTTAAAAAGTATGTTATCCTTGTCAATGCACTTTACTTATACTCATGCACTAGTTTAACGTCTTACTTACGGTTGTTGCCTGAAGTGACGACGATCAGTGGTATTCGCCAATGATACAATGTCACCATTCTTATTTAATTTCACTATAAATGTATATATACAAGTGATCTATATAATCTCGACTTCATAAACATTGATTTATTACCATGAAAGTAGGCAGATAAGTTATGATGTACGAAATACAAAGCACTACCGAGTAAAGATGTGAACAAAAAGCAGTCTTCCGAACACCGTGAGTAGTTTATTACGTTTATCTTTCCAATTATTTTAAGAGCTGCATCATTTCAGACGGATCGTACACTGAAGAAATCTTATCATAGGTTTATTTTACCTTCGCTAACTGGTAATATTTGTTGCGTAGTGGGAAATATGCATATATTTATTTCCCTCATTTGTGTTTGTGTGACACAGCAGCAGGAAGCGCGGTCGTTGTTAATCCGGGCCCCGACCGATCCGGCATGATATTTTGTGAGTTTTTTCGAATCATAGTATTGGATTTGGTAGCTGCTTTTTGTCTAACCGCTATCCAAACAAACTTTCTGGTATGGTAGGACCTACAGGAACATAAGTTCCAGCCAGTGTAGCTCGTTGGGTCAATGCGATATGCAAGCCCGACCACCACATCAAGGTAGCAGCTATCGGTCGTTTCAACTACAGGCGGAACTGACGAGGATATCAAAGCAAGAATCGGGAAAGCAAGACAAGCTTTCACTACTCTCAAGTCTGTGTGGAGGTCAACAACACTCAGCATCAAAAATAAGATCCGGATTTTCAACTCCAATGTGAAGTCAGTGGTACTTGCTATATGGATCAGAGACTTGCACTGCGCGTCATAAAGAGCATCTCAAACAAACTACAGACCTTCATTAACAGTTGTCTTCGCTCAATACTCAAGATTAGATGGCCAGCAAGAAAAGATCAGCAACAGGGATCTCTGCAATGAGCGAACCAACCAGGAACCGTTTGTGAAACAAATAGGCAGGAAGAAATGGAGATGGATTGGCCATACTCTGAGGAAACCATCAAGTGACATCACTAGACAAGCCATCACTCGAGTGGAACCCGAAAGGGAAGCGGCGAGTTGGTCGTCAGTGCAAGGGTGACATGGAGGAGGTCATGTGAAGAGGAGATGAAAACGTGTGGACAGACTTGGAGCCAGGTAAAGACTCTAGCAGAGAACCGAACGCAATGGAGACGCACGGCTGAAGCCCTATGTTCCTCTGAGAATTAAAGGAAACAATAATAATAATAATTTGTGTTTGTAAATACCGCTCGGAGGATTTCCAAAAATCCGAGAGAAAAACAATTGTGTGAAATAAAAGTAATAAGAGCCACACTATGATGACAATCAGGATGGTAATGGTGGTAATACGTGCTAGTGTTTCTCAAAAAAATATATTATTCGATGAGCAGAACTCCAAATGATGGTTAGTGAAAACATTTGTGATGAAAAGCTCTCGGTAGACAACAAGTACACTTGTATATCTGACGCAGATTCCACAACAGCTGACGAAATGCGAATTTCTTGTATGTCAGTCTGAATGCGTATTGAAAGAACATAAAACGCACTACTAAAATTCAGCAAGCACTTTAAACTTGCAAGTGTACTCACTTCAGGTGTGGTAAGACTGATTAAAAAAGCTTCCTGAAATGAAATGACTATTTGGAAGTAATTTACTCTTAAAAATTTTACAAACGAAGTAACGCGATGCAACGAGGTGGAGTAGTGGTAATTAGGTACTGCTGTATACCAAGGCACCTTAGGATCGACTAATTCTTGGAAAGCTCCTAAAAATGGTTCCAAGAACATAAGCGAGTGGTAATCTATTTTTGTAGGGATAGATAATACACACAGTATTAGCTACCTAATTGGTTCTAATAATAATATGTCAAACTCGAGTTGAAAAAAAGGTCAACCATGTCTGTTCAAATACAGTCAACCAGTTTAGGGAAGGATAGAAAAACACGCAAAATGGTAACACTACTCGAATATGTTTTCATGGGGAAATAAAAGAAAGAGAGCAGTTTTCATGAGCCAGCTTATAAATTCGAATTTATGAGTTCAGGGAATCCCGTATTTATTTTTTTTTATTTTTGATTACAGCTTGATTCCACACCGTATTTTCAGTACAAGTATGGAATTTTCAGCATGGATATCGGTAGCCCAAATTTACAGGCCGACCATAGATATCGGGTGTGCGCCGGCAGGGGATCGAACCCCGGACCATGTGCATGGTCGGCGAGAGTCATATATATACATATATATATTTCCCTAAACTTAGTATAATGCGGAATTAAATCTCACTAATACTGAAATAATTCTAACATTCTATAGTGTGTAAATTCTGAATCTGTTCTGAAATGGATTCTTTAACGGCACAGACTAGAACTCAGTGATGGTTTTCAGCATGACTGGCACTAATTCGGCACCGTGTTCTTTTTCTAGGCATTTTAGGAGTAGATCGGAACCTACTGGGTTTACTTACCAGCGTTGTACCAGCCATCACGGGACATATATTAAGCCCTGACTAGCGTTACTTCAGAACGGAAAGACTTAATGCAACACCCAGCCCTCTTTTTAAGCAAGACCAGTGTTATTTCAGAACATAGTAGGTAGATCTAATCTTCATTTACCATAAAAAGGCATTATCGAAGAATAAGTTTAGAATTGTTGTTAGCGTGAGTCTTTATAAAGAGATGTGGAACAGATGTTAAGCCTATAATAATCGAGTGAAGTGATGCTTGAATACTGAAGGCTCTGTTGTACTTATCACAAAGATGACACAGTAACTTCTGCAGTTGAAACGTGTTAGGTTTACAACATTGTTAGTTACACTCTACATTAATTCAATACCAACATTTAACAAATTAAGGTGATAGGCTACTTCATTTTATGAAGAAAAATGGTTTTTTGGAAATTTTCTTGGTTTTGATTAAAAAAAGTAAAATGAACACATACTTCAACAATGCAACAGGAAGCAGACGTGTGGAATTGTGGAGTCTGTAACCTCACCAACGAAATGCGCGCGCTGTTTGAAAAAAGGACTTCTTTTTTCACGTATTTTCACGTATTTGACAAATCGCTGTTTTTGTTGTGTTATTCACTTCAAGGACATTTTTTTAAACTTTAACTTCACTTTTGCCTGTTAAGTTTTGATTTTAAACATTTTTATGGTCTATATTGGGTAAATTGTCTTGGCTGTTCCAGTAGTTCATTATGTCAAAAGTACCACATAAATGTAATAGGGTGGAGTGTTACTTTTTGGTAGATGATGGAATACAGTGCAATAACTGTGAAAAGTGGTATCATAAGATGTGTACTGGATTACGTCCAGCTGCATACAAACGTTATATTGCTCCAACATCCCACTGGATGTACAGAATGTGTTGCTCCCCAAAGATGACTTTGATAAGGGAGGCTCACAAACTACTGTCTAAGGCTATGGAACTTCCTGATGATAGCGTGGCTAGTAATAGTGACACAGACTGCCCGTCTGAAGATGACGCAGGAAGTGCCACCATGAATGTTACCACACCGGCGGTTACTATCCCAGTTACCCCGGAAGTAAAACCTACTAGGCGTTCGAAGCGTCTTAGTAAGCGAAAGGGTAACAGAACGGAAGCTGCAAACAGCATCTCAGCACCAGAGAACACTGTAAGCGAAGTTCAAAATGAAGGTGGTGCAGACACTGATCTCGATTGTACCATCAAAAACTACAGCAGCCCTGAGAAGCAACTGCAGGCAGATGATCAGTGGGTAACGAAAATAAGCGATCGGACGAAACATAGTAATATCGATGGTAAGCAAACGTCTGTCACCTGCAGCCAGGCGGCATCAATAGTGGTGAGAAAAGACGTAGCCACTGCTAAACACGACAAGCTCTCCTTAGACTCTAACATAATTGTTGGAAATTTAGAAGAGTCCAAAGAATCTGATCCCGTAAAAAGGCACGATCACGACCTTAAATTAGTGAGTAGTATTATAAGGAAGATGCTCCCAGCGAATTTCCATGGAGTATCGATTGAAAAGCTGATTAGAATAGGCAAAAGAGATCAGCGTAGATTGCTTAAAGTAGTCTTAGGTTCTCCTGATGAACGGAATCATCTACTGGCTAATCTACACAACCTTTCCGGGTCAGGAATTTCAGTCAGACCTGATTTATCTCTTGAAGACAGACTTAAACGGAAAGAAGTTTTGTCCTAGCTAGAAACAAGACGTAAAAATGGTGAGACTAACCTTAAACTGGTGGGTTTTCAAATAGTCAGGTCTTGGAAACGTATGCTTCCAAGACCTGTGTGGATAAGCCGGACCGCATAGGAAGCCTGAAGGTAGTATACACTAATACACGTAGTATCTGGAACAAATTTCATGAGCTAGGTGTATTAGTGGAAGACCTTAGCCCAAGTATCGTGGCCATTACTGAAACATGGCTGGTTTCTGGGTTAGATGACACACCTGAGCTATGTGGATTTAGTTGCTTGCGCAGCGACAGGGCTAAGGGTCGTAGAGGTGGCGGTGACTTGGTAGGCTTATGAGCAATAGTTTGTGCTCGAAACGTGATCATTTGATGTTACTGTATAACATTGTGTGATTTATCAAAATAAAATCTTATCTGTTATGGAGCTAGACGTATATCCTATTTATCACAAATAGTCTGTTATTCTTATGTTGCGTTTAACACCACTGTCTCAAAGGAAAACATTAGGTAATACAGAGATAGCTACATTACTCTTCTTGTGGTATCATTTCGTATCAATACGCTCTTACATGATCACATGAACACTTAAACTTCTATATCAGTTGACCGCATCACTAAACTTCATTGTTTATTTTGTTTTCATAAAATACTGCAACTTATTAGATAGGCTTTTGTTGTGCACATCTGCTGTTTAGGGTTTAATGGAGGAAGCAGTTATTCAGAAGCAATAATTTTACCCCATCATGACCAAATTCATTCACGTACAAATAGGACATTTTACGAATATTACGTCTTCTACACTGGAATCACTTTTCAGCTTGAGAAGCAATAAGTATTTAGAATGCATGAATGGAGTGCAAAATACTAACAAAATGTGTATTTCAATAAATATATTCATAATATCACAAGTATTTCACCATTCACACACATATTATCCGTTGTAATCCCATTTGATTGTCTAAATGTACTGAATAATTGAGGAAGTGAAGGCCATAACCTGGAAATTAAAAACAACATGACTTCAGCCAGGAAATAATGAGTTAAATAAAAGAATTGAAACACGGTACATTCCAATGAAATGACTGTATCTTCGCCGTTATTTGACCAAATGACCAGCTCAGTTTTCTTTCTCACTGTGAAACTTTGTAAAGATCGTTAAATCATAATTACCTCTCATCTGTGCATACTGCCTTGTGAATATGGTGAGGTCACTGCCATCGCCACTCAGATACCCTCAATTATGGTAGAGCACACTAACGCCCTTAAAATACTGTCCAAACTGAAGCCAGGTATATCAACTGGGCCCAATGGACTTCGTCCTAACATGTTAATTTCCTTGGCGGATATAATATATATCCCACTCACAGAGATTTTTCGAATGTCTCCAACCCAGGCTAAGCTACCCAGGGACCTATCTTCAAAGAGGGGAACAGGCAATTGGTATCTAACTACCGACCGGTAAGTCAGACATGCATTATGGCGAAGGCATTGGAAAAAGTTATATGGAGTCAGTTATTAGCTAACGTGGAAAAACATGGCTTGCTGGCTGTGGAACAGCATGAGTTCCTACTAGGAGGATCCTGCCTGACGAACCTACGATTGACTGGGTTGAGGTCAGAGATAAAGGCCTTCTGTTGGACGTGGTTTTGTCGATCTTAGTAGGGCATTCGATAAAGTATCCCACTTGTGTCTCCTTAGTAAACTTAAAGGTTTCGGACTACACCAGTGCCTGTGTGAGTGGTTTAGGGATTACCTAATGGATAGAAGGCAGAAGGTTAGAGTTAACGGTGTACTATCAGGGTGGAAAGCAGTATCCAGCGGAGTGCCTGAGGGAACTGTATTGGCCCCCTTGCTATTCCTGTTATGCATCAACGAACTACCGGGGATTCTTACTTCATCTCCATTACTATTTGCGGACGACATTAAGATATGGAAAACTGTAAATAATAACGAGGATAGGCCGGCCCTACAAACTGATCTAGATAAATTAGCTGAGTGGTCGAACCTGTGGAGTTTGGAAATGAATTCTAGGAAAAGCGCGGTAATGCACTTAGGTCAGAAGTCTTATACATAGTACTACCTAGGGGACACAGGACTACCTGATGTTAGTGGATAGAAGGACCTAGGAATCATTGTCAGCACTGATTTGAAAATAACTGCAAATTGCAGTGCAGCCGCAGCTAAGGCTTTTCGAATGCTGTGGACACTCCGAAGAGCTTTCAAACGATAAGATGAGTCTATGTTCAAAGTACTCCACGCAACATGTGTCAGGCCTCATCTAGAATACTGCATACAAGCGGCTAGTCCATGCTTCAAGAAGGAGGCACATTTCTTAGAAAAAGTACAAAGGGTAGGAACCAAATTAGTTAGTGGTGTCTCACACCTCCCTTATGACAAAAGGATCGAGCATTTAAGTCTCTTCCCGTTATCATACCGAAGGGAGAGGGCTACTTGATTTTAGCATATTGTATACTTAGGGGTGATTTAGGAACTTACCTCTCCAACCTTTTCTCTCCTTCTAGGATACATTTACGGGGTCACCACAAAAGGGTGCTCAAACCAAGGACGATTAAAATATGTGCGGAATTTAGATTCTCTCATAGAGTGGTCAACTATAAGAACTCCTAACCTGATTCACTAGTATCAGCTCCATCAGTGAACGCTTTCGAAGAGAAGTTAGATCGCTGCAAGGATTAAAACAGGCTACAAGGGCCTACCATCCTTATCATCTCAGTTTGAATCTGGATCTGAATCAATGAAGACTTCATGTCTCAGGATATCAATGCAGCATATTTTTGTGTGAAAAACAGCACTATTTGACAAGTGAATGCTATCAGTACATGGAAAGCACGTGTAAATGCTGACAGAGCCTTCTGTGGGAAAAGCAGTTGTCATGTAGATGTGTTTTTCACCGTATATGTGGTTGGAAGAGAATTATCGCAAGTTGAAAGGTTACCTCTCAGCGGATTTCGTATAAACTTGCACTGATTGGTGCAGTGCAATATGGGTTATGTGGACTCAATGTATAAATTTATCTCAACTTTATTAATATTGCACCATTGTCTGCTTAGCTGACTGCTAGGCGAACAGGTGTAGGTGATTCTCACGATTGTCGCATGTGCAGCATAGTGGAGAATGCAATTAATCGTTTAGATTTCCCCAGTCTCACTTAGTGCATTAATTCAGTGTACAGTATTATTATACACTCGGATTGTGTTCATCATGAGAAATGAACCTAGTCAGCTTTATTATCATCAGCCTACCATTTCCACTGAAACTGTATACTTAATGCTGCAATATTTTTGATCACTAATAGTAGAGATGAACTTGTCCTGAAATTTCCATTCACATGAAGCAGTACAGTTGCAGCATCACGATTGGTTGTCTAGGTTACATTATATGGCAATGTTATCCTCATCGGCTCAACAGGTTTGTGTATCTTGCAATATTTTAAGTGTTTCTGTGTGTTGTTAACACTTTGCATAGCTGTTTAGAGTTGAGGCATGTTCACTTGATATCTGATTGCTATAGTTTGACTGCTATTTGATTGCTATATGAGAATGTCATTTCGGTAGGATTCACAAGACCATGTTCACTAGACATTGCTGAGATTGTTGATTCATTTCTAAGTTAAACACTTGCAATACTTCCTTTAATGTAAGCGTATTTAGTGTGAAGTTGATCTGTTAGTAATCTTGGTGAGATAATACCGCCTCAGCAGTATGGATGTTTCAGATATTGCCTTAAAATTGGCGTATAATCCTCTAATACTGGAAAACATATGAGGTATATATATGCATACGGTGTCAATATTAAGACCAGCTGTGG